ATCTCACCCAGCTTCAACAACATGGATGGACAGCTTGACCTGTCCTCTCAAACCTTTGGATAAAGAAATGTCCCTGTTCTCATTTGCTGACCATTATCAATAATAAGTCAGTCAGGAGTTCAGTCCAGAGTCAAGGTCACTTAATGACCTTATCGTTCCATGTAGTTTCTACTTGTGTCCTCTGCTTTGTGTTTGACTGTTAATGGAGAAAAAACTCCCACCCCCCCAAAAAAACATATTAAAACCTAGCTGTAGCTTGAAGCTTATGGACGTTTTCAATGAAGATTTCCCACATCAAAGGAAACAACAGGCAGTCACTAATCTCTGGGAGGTGGGGCGATGTAGAGCAACAGAAAAATAATTATTTCCATAGAGTTACATTTTTCTCACGGGATATGCTCAACTACAGAAACGCAGAGCTGTTTGCTGTGGAACAAAGGTTCGCTGAATTGCAGATTAAGCGCTTGGTGGGGAAAAAAAAAACGTACTAAAAACCATGTTTAAGCTCTGGCAAAATACTAACTTAATTAACAAACGTTTCATCTTGTTACAGATCACACAGCACAGCCCACTAGGAAAGAGCGGTTCTCTGTGATGGCTGTCACATCCTTGCTTTAATATCTCATTACACCCTACTGGAGAAACTGACACCCAAAACACTTTAGAAGCAGAATATTTAAGAAAATCGGGTTTAATTCATTGGCATTAGAATCAAACTCAGAGTTTGCCGGGAGACAGCCGCACTAAGAGCTATAATGTTTTGCTCCAAACGGCAAATGACTTTATGAAAGCAGCAAGCCATCAGAAACAATCAAAGCCCCCGATCTTCCCTCGCCGGGCCTGCCCTGCGCATGGCAGATCTTCACATGAGGGACAGGGAGTAGAAAGAAAGCCAAATGACAGTGATCAAATCCCGGAGAAGCAACAGAAGTGCTTTTCATAGATTTTGAAAAGCAAAGTAGCTGAAAGGGGAAGCCTGTTCGATGTCGAAATGGGGGCCTTTGATTTGTTCCTCCAGCCCGTCCCCCTCTTTTTTCTTCTCCTCTTTTTTCACGGGACCACAAAACGAATACTAAAGGGGAATGAGGGAGGGGTATGATGGTACGATCCCGAAACTGCAACGACATCTCACTGGGGCCGCTCACCAACAGCGCGGGGAAGCTGAGAGTGCAGTGCAGGACGACTGCGGCGAGTAGCACTTTCAAATTTCGGCTTCCACGCTTCTAAATTAGAGACCTGGAGCTCAGAGGACAGGCTCAGTTAGCAAATATGAGGGCTCTGCTTGCCCAGTGCTGGATTTCCCATTAGGCATGGTAGGGCACAGCACCTAGGGCCTACGAAGGAGGGATACACTAGTGACTAACGAAAAACGAACTGAAAGAACATGCTTGCGATCGACTCCCGGTGCTCCAAATCAATACTTCTAGAAACTAGAAGTATCAAAGTGATGGCCGTTTGACTCACTCCATCAATCACATGGTTTAGCGTTAAAATAGTTTAAAGTGCATCATGTCAATCGACGTCATTCAATTGGCGTTGACCCCTCTTTTTGCACATTTCGGAGTGAAAGTGCCTGGGGCCTACGAACACCGAAATCCAGCCCTGCACTTGCCAACGGCTCTGTGTGCAGCCAGACAGATGGACAGACATACAGTAACAGCAGCAGCTCTTGCTGGAACCTAATAAGCGGCCTGCCATCAGGCATTATTAGTACCGTAACAGTTTGCCTGGGGTTTGTTATCAGAGGATAATTTAATAATAGAAGTGCTGCAACAGTGTTATAAGCTGCACAAAAGAAGAAGGCCAGTGGCATAGCCTGATGCTTGTGAGCGCATAAAGCATTGCTCGTTACAGCCTCGGTTGCAATTAATGCGAGATTGTACCATGAAGGTCCCCTGGTAGCTGATCTTTTTCCACGGTCACTACAAGCATTCTGGGAAGTCGCACGGAATAAATACAGATAATCGCCGTTGTTCTGAAGCGCGAGAGAACTCTAATCGTACACAGCAGTGTAATAAACCTGAGCAGTAGAGTAAGTCGGCGTGTTGCAGCTGGAAACAAAAAGGAGGGTTCATTTATCCCGATTGCTAGTCTCAGAGCCTCAATACAATCAAAACAAAGCAGGAAGCACACAAAGTAAAATAAACATTTTAGACAAGCTACAAATACTGTCCTACTGAGCAAGGCAACAATGAAATGCAAGCGTGAATTCTAATATCACAACACTATTACTCAAAGGAATTCTTTGTCTTAATTGAACCTGAAGAAAACGGGCATGTATGATGTTATTAGCCCCAGGTCTAGGAGCTGCACTGAAGGCCCATGGGAGACTAGCAGGTGGAGCCTTGCAGTGTCACAGCTGAAAACCACCAGTAATTGGCAGGGGCTCAGATGGGCTGAGGGATGGAGCTGCATGCACCACATGCTGTCCCTTCAGAGTGTGGACAGTCCCTGCAGGACCAAAGGGGCGTATGTCGAAGACCCATCATGTAACAAACCTCAAGCAGGCGACTGACCTGTCCAGCAGAAAGCCTGCCCTATACAGATCTGCTGTCATTAATCAATAGACCTGAGTGCTCTACAGAAACAGGAATAAGGAGTTGAAGCTGACAAACACACCACACTTGAATAGAAATGCACTCAAGACAACAGGATAGGAAGAAGCTTTAATCAAGGAGCTGAAGAGGTGTCAGTGGGGCCAGAAGGGGGTGCACACCCTGCGGTCTGTGTGGGTCCTAATACCCCAGTATAGTGACGGGGACACTATACTGAAAAAAAGGCACCATCCAAGGTCCTGTCTCTCAGTGGTCATTAAAAATCCCAGGGTGTTACTCAAAGTGTAGTGGTGTTACACCCGGTGTCCTGGCCAAATGTCCCATTGGCCTTTACCACTCATGGCCTCCTTACAATCCCCATCTCTGAATTGGCTTCATCACTCTGTTCTCCTCCCCACTGATAGATGGTGTGTGGTGAGAGTACTGGCCCACTATGGCTGCCGTCACATCATCCACTGGTGGTGGTGGAGGGGAGTCCCCCTTAACTGTGAAGCACTTTGAGTGGAGTGTCCAGAAAAACACGATATAAGTGGAAAGAATTATTATTATTACAAGGAGCTTTCGCCCTTGATTAAAATTAAAATGTTTCTGTATGTCAACTGAGGAGGACGTCAGAGTGACAAGGTTTTTGTTGTTTGCATGATTAAGGAGAGAGAGCTTCTAAAATACCCCCATAAATCAATCTGAAATAAAGTTTCATGAGAAATTCTCTGAAATTCTTTAAATGTGAAAATAACCACTTATTGCGAATAGAGGGACAAAAAGGGTCCTTAAGTGAGCTTCAGATGTCTTTTGCTGCTTATCCTCTTGTTTCTCGTCACTGCCAAAGAACAAGGCAGGTTTAACAGGTAATCCCTCCTCACTTTAGCACAGCCTGAGGCTCAATTAAACCTGCTCTGTCAGGCCAGATGCTCTGCACTGTGGACGCTCTGTCCCTGAAGCCCTCACGTGTCCCGACTCAGATGATCTCAAGCCTGTGTGTCCCAGCACAGATAACAACAAAACAGTAGTTTCCATGAGAAGGCTGAGGCTTCTCTGGGTTTTAATTAAGAGATTAATGTTTTGCTGTTGTGCTCTTCAACAATATAGATTTTTCAATGAGATCATAGGATTAGCTGCATTTACATTGTATTAGGGCAAGTCAAAGCAATAGCATAAAAGAAACTTCAGGAGTAGGAATACAGTACATGCTGCATTTTATAGTTTGAGGTTGCTATATTGTATAATAAGGAACATTATCATGTTTTGTTTCCATGATTAGAATTGTATTTCTTTCACATTAAATGTGACAGTCAGTTGTCAACTTTTTTAAATCTACTGTAGATAAGCAAACAGAGGTCTGCTACATAGTATCAGCTAAAAAAATCAAACAAGAAACAAGCCCAGTTTGTTCCAATTCTAAAAGGAGCATCACACGCTACTTGGAACAGAAAAAAACAGACCTACTGACAATACATTTGCAATCATGTCTTCTGAAAAAATCGAGAGGCTGAAAAGAAACCCACTTTAGGCGCGATAATCTGTAGCCCAGGAGCTATGGAGCAATCTGTGTCCCCAAATCCTGATAATTAGGGCCTAAATGTCCAGGCAGACTGAAAAACAATTGCATTAGGGTATTCTGAAGCCCCAATACAAATAACCTTGCACCTGATGCTGAGTGCAGTGACCGCCTGCAGAATAAAACTGACAATGAAACAGTCTCATGTTGTCGAGATTAATCTGTCAGGATTTATGATCCTGTGCACAGTGACGGGCAGAAAATTCCATGCTGGAGACTAACACAGAACTCAGCAACAACCTCACTGGGTGAAGGCTCAGTCCCAGAGCTCTGTTACTAACAAGTAAACAGGCAGAACCAACAGATAGGCACTGAAACAGAAAACAGAAATGATAGAAATTCTGGGAGGGTCTACAACAAGCCGAAACAAGGTGGAAAACTGATGTATCAATCAGTCAGTATATATGCCTGGTAAAACGAAGTGTAACATCAGTCCTAAGGGGACTCAGCTCAAATGCACAGCATCCTCCCACTTCAGTACATCTTGAAAACTGAACTACTCAAATCTATAATTGATGGAATATTAATGCAGCAGTTTAAATATAAGTCTACGTGCTCTGTGCAATATCATTTATGCCACCCACCACTGCCTCCGACTCTTCAAGTCCTTTACAGCCACCTCCACTGCCCTGGAAGGCACTGTGGTGTAACCCACACACATCAGAAGTTTCATGAAACAGCTTCTGCTTCTCACTGTGTCACACTGAAATCAACTAGGCCTTGCGCAGCTACCCAATTGAGTCCTGTCGCAGCTGCGTTATCAAAGGTCATGGAGAGAGACACACGTGGAATTTCAGATAACTGGAAAATAGCAACTGTGAAGCAGTGGGAGAGCAGCCAAAATCCCAGACCCAGGCAAGCCTGAAATGCAGTCGCACTTGACTTACCCCTAATTTTCTGCTTCTCATCCGAACGTAGCCCTGCTTGACAATATCGTTGAAGTTTGAAGCCATGTCTGTAGGCCTTGGGTTTTTATCATCCAGTCCTCCTGTCTGGAGCGATTCTCCTCCTGTCCTCCCTTCTCCCGTCTCCTCCCTCCGTCTTCCCCGAACACGACCTCCTCTCACTCCCTCTCCATCACCGCCGTCCTTCTTTCCTTTCTGAAAGAAAAATACGCAACTCTGCTTCAAAACAAGAAGACTGTAGGAGGCAAGGATGGACCCCCCCCAAACACATTTCACAAAGGACAGTTATCTTTTTTACAGCAAGAGAACAAACCCCTTGAAGAAAAGGAAAAAGTGTTGGAGCTAACAAAACTGGGCTACAAGATTTGAACAAGATCAAATCCTAATCATACTTCAAGCAGTTACCATGTGCAATTTTATCTTCAAGCATACTGCTAGCAGACATTGACTTTCTTTAAAGAGCTAGATGTGATAATGTCTTCCTACAGGCGCTTAGTATATTCTCAGAATACAGCATTGTAAATCTTCCTTTTGGGAGAAAAGAGGAGAGAATTAAATTTTCATAGGGACTTCATTTACCAGACAAAATAATGAGACTAAATGCCTCTGCCAACGCTCATTTTATGTGAAATTAGAACTAACCCACACACATGAAACAGTAGTTTCTTGTGAATGAATGCTCTAAAAAGGTGGCAGGCTGTGAAGTGAAGACGATACACAATAAAACACATTCTGATCCGTCTCACTCTACAGATAAGAAATGACGATACTGTCTGAGCACAACCTCGAATTCCCACATCTAAAGAGATCAGAGGAGGAAACGTAGAGCAGGGCCTCACTCAAGGTAAAATGCTTTTTCTTACTACATTTTCAACCCCCAAATATGAAGGCTGTACCGAACAACGGCACATCTAACTTAAAGACTCACAAACTCAAAAAAACAACAATTAAAATTAAACATTTAAACAAAAGACGTGACCCGACATTTAACAAAACTGAAAATTAAAAATGAGCAGAACCTCTCAGAGCAAAACAGTCTGCTTACTCAATCCCTTCTAATGTCTGAACTATCAACAGCATCAAAGCATCAACACATCTGCACTACTATTTAGATCATGCACACACAGTTTTTCAGCACCAGAAAGTTAATCCCAAATAATTTAGCTTTGTAAACCAAACCGCACACCGGGTACAGGGTCGCCTAAGTAATAATTAACAAGAAATAACAACTCCCAAGAGTTAAAAGTATTGAAAATGTTTACTGAGCCTTCATTCATAGCAAATTTGGCTTAATCGGCTTGGCTGAGTATGAGCACCTTGGCCACAGGACAAGGAGATGGGACCCCCCTTCAGAGTAAGGAGGGGCCGGAGGGGAGCTGCACGGGTGGGAATGGGCGTGGAGGGGGGATGCAAAAGTCACATGCAAAGGAGAAAAGTCTCATCAGTGGGATTTATTGTTTTTTTTTTAAGTGAGAAAATGACATCAAGAAGCATTACGATTTACAACAGCAGAGGCAAATGGAACCTGGCTGCTGTCATCCACCCCCAAAACATTCATTGTAAACTCCATTAGAGCATTTGCATGGAAAGAAATGCTCAGACAAAGCTATATAGTGGGAGTTTACAGGCCCTTTACTGTACCCTGGATAACTAAAAACACATTAAGAAGTAATCGATCAAAAGAGCTGCCTGCCTTCTGAGCTACACCGCCCAAATATGACCACATTAGAATTCTTGGTTTGTTGTCAAGGGATTATATCACCAACTTAGTGGTGGAAACAAGCCCTGTGGTAAAATGATTTAATCAAGTGTCAGGGCTCACACTGTCCACTGCTTTGGGCTTCAAAAGGAAAAAAAAAACGTTCAATACGGAAAGGTGGAACACACAGAGAAAAATGTAAAACAAAACCTTAAAAAAACATTTATTCGAATTTTCTCTTCCAATACCTTGCTCTCAGCTAAATGCCTGGGCTCTTTTAATAAAGTTTAAGATTCTACCAACTGACCGTTTAAAAATCGATACAGATCAATAGCCGTTTTCTTCAATTGATGGTGTGAGACTGCTTATTCTTCTCTAAATTAATATTTGCACACTCTGCTATATTGACTCTTTGAGAATTTCTATACCTGGGCTATCAGATAGGAAGTGGTTAGCATTTACCTGTGTCTGTAGTCCTCAAACAGGCTCATAATGCCTGCAATAACAGCCTGAACTCCAATTGCTGACTCTAAACAAGTTTGAAAACCTATTGGCACCTGGTCCTTAGTTTTCTGTACAGATATGTTAGAGCGCTGTGTTCCAGTCATGATGCTAATTGGAAGAAAATGAAGTCAGACAATGACAAATTCTATTGCATTTCCAAACTGGGAGAAACTCACTAATGTAAACTGATGTTTTTCAATTAAACTAAATAAACTCTAAAGAGCTATAATTACTTTAAGTGGTCCATTTGAGAAACTTTGACAAGGAGGGCTAGAATTGTTCCAAAACGTAAGCAGTCTTCAACTGATGGACTAATACAAGGTTACTTAAGCAAAGGCACTGGAACAGCCTGATGCTTTTTTACAGTGATAGCCATACCTCTCTAAATAAAGACCAAGGTGCATTTTGGGGTAGATCGTTTTACCTGCAATTGTATGATAAAAGTAAATCTAACATAGGGCCATTTGCGTTAAAGGAGGAAATACAGGGTTTTCAGACTTATAAGCATGTTTCACGACAGCTGAAAATATAAAAAAAATTAAGGCCCCACATAAGGTGATTTTCCCATAATTGTTTTCACTACAAAACAACACACACCAGCATCAAGAGATGAGAGATGCTGAGAGTGATTTTCCTGCTTCCACTTTTTTAAACACATGCTGCTGCTGTTCTTGGCATACACAGGACTGGAAACATCTTCTTAATTACTTATATCATGCCACATATTGGGATCACAATATGATTATGACTTAGATCATGGGTGAAGAGACCTTACCTCTTGAAAGGCTTTAAGATATGTAAATGGAGGCAGCATACAAAAAAAGTTAAAAAATCAGAAGCTTCTGAATTATGCAAATCGATCTAGCTGAACTCTAAAACTCTAAAATAAAGGTATGAACAAACCCAAATTGATTTTGCTGTGCCTCCCACATAATTATATGGCCGGATGCCTCTGAAGATTATGGTGATGTAGTGATTGACCATCTCCTGTTCAATAACCATCAATACCCAGCTTGGGAGCTTATCTAGGGAAAGTGCAATTTGATTGATCTCAAGCTGTTTACAGAAGCAGCCTACACACGCGTGATTTCCAAACTCATTTCTTCAGATCAAGAGTGCTTAAATTCAAATCAAGCAGTGGTCTGCTGCATTTCATGGGGGAAAAAAAATGAAATGGAACTGCTGGGCACTAAAAAGACTGTGAAATAGTGCAGCAGCACATGGCCTCACAAAATCATGTCATAATCAACCTCCCTTGCCTCTCATTTTTCCTATTCTACTTGTTACCCACATTGGAAATGTATGAAATCCAGTGCAGTCCAGGAGCTAGAGCAGCAATCTAGGGTGCTCACAGACTGTGAGTCTTGTTAGGAGGAGATGGATTATGTAATGAGACTCCCCACAGCAGAGTTTGAACTCCCAGCCTTGCATGACAGAGGTGAGAACACTGGTGCTGCTACAGGAGTGGGAGAAAGCATTAATCACTACAACATTCTCATACCTGAAAAACAGCAGCAGAGATTTGATTTTCACGCCTTCAGAAGGAAAGATGGCCAGCTTTTCGCTGCTCTATTTAGATGAGGTGCACACTCCTGAAGGGCTTTAACAAACAGGGTTTTCACTGGGTAATGATTCAGCTCGGCGAGCTAAAAGAGTTACATTTGCCTTATTTAGAAATAAATCGTCCTCTCTATACCATTAAACAGAGGAATTTCTTCTTCCTACTCATGAGGTTTTTTTTTCCACACTCTGTTTACAAAAGGCCACAGCAGAAACACAGCCAACCAGTCCATTACGACCATACTGAAAGGTAAGGGAGAGAGTCAACAAGTATCTTAGTTTGTATTCCACTGCAAGATTTTGGCCCAGCTGCTTTGGTAACTAAAACACCGGTAATTCATTTCCGTGCAAATTTCCTCAAAGGTTTGGTCTAGAATTTCTAGTAAACAACATCCATAAAAAGATTTTCATCAAGGAGACACAAGACACACAAGATAAATCAAGAGAATCAGACTGGAAGGCAACAGAAAGTATGCACTCAGAAATGCAGCATTGAAAACCACTATTGCATGTTTTTCTCTGTGCTGTAGTCCTGAGATTGATGAGAGACAAGTGCCGCCTAGATAACTATTATCTCACCCACACCCACTCAGAGGTCAGGTGCATGGGGATCTTTTATGAACCAGCCTATTGCCTTATAAGCTAAACTCCATGTAGAGTAACGTTAAAGACTGGGTACAAGAGCCCTGTGCTGACCAGACATGACAGCTAGGTGCTCTCAGAAGGTAACATAGCCTGCTGAGGGCAGGTGAAGCCGAGACAATGGAATCAAATAATCTTATGGTACATTAATCTGGGAGAAAGGACAGACATTTATTTTCTGTGTGAAAGGGAAACAAGAGACTGATTGTCAGTTTCAGGTCAATTTCATGAACCACTTCACTCTAATTCCCAAAGAGTAGTTACTGTGTGCCAAAACAAAACTCTGCGCATTGATGAAACAAAACGATGCATTGAAAATGACGCTAGAGAAGGTAGTCATTTCAGCTTGATGAGTTCAGGGGGAAAGAAATGTCGAACAGCCTCGACTTCTGAAAAACAGGACTGGGGATTAACCATTCTGAATGGGTTTGGCTTTGTTTCCATCAAACTAGGAAATGTGTTTGGGTCACATTAATATGTTGATCTTGCAATACCCAATCAGTAGCAAGTTCAAGTTTTAGTCCTACTGCTGCCTATTTCCGCAATGCAAGCTTTTCCACTAAACCTACATGTGGAGGGCTGGTTATTTTATCACTTCCTTGTGAAGAGTGTGTTACATCTGTGTGGTTGTAACTCCTTTATCATTGCATGCACCTGACAGAAATGTACTTATAGTTGCAAGTTCAGCCACACAATATCAACTTGTCAGGGAAAGGTGTTGCTCTCTACAGGTTCCTAAGCTAAAGGCCTACAAGGTGTTAATGGAACAAAGATCAAATGAAGTGAACTA